GCACATTACCTGTAAATATAAGTAATTACTTGACCAGGCTATCAGTTACTACAGTACAGACTACATTTTCCACCTAATATTTCAGTCAAAATGTAACCACAACTTGACTTATCTACTGTACCTTCACGTATGCAGGTAGAGGACCGGTCGTACATTGAGATGAATGCAAGGACAATTCTTAGCACGTTGAGTTTGGCATTTAATGTAGTGTGAAACATTAAATAAACTCTTCGACAGTGGTGAGAAAAGACAACTTAAATTTTAACCTTCAAGTGTGTGTATATATATATATATATATATATATATATATATATATATATATATATATATATATATATATATATAATATATATATATATATATATATATATATATATATATATATATATATATATATATATATATTAATATACAGCACCCCTGGCAGACGCTCGCGGCACTCCAAGGGTGCCGTTGAACCAAGTTTTAGAACCGCTGCACTGCATAATTCTGGTTAAAAACAGCTCATTTAATTTAATTATCATAACATAAAACGACGACTGTCTATACAAGAAGCAGATAACACACAAAACACACACCCTAATATACATGTACACCCCCCCCCCCCCACCCCGGCCTTTCCACAATCTAACACACACACATAGGTTCTTTTCTGTTAAATCACCATATGGGGGGGGGGGGGGGGGGGGGGGGGGGGGGGGGTTAGGATTATGGTTAATAGGAGTTGATATTCACTTAACACTAACCCTAATTCTAAAACCCTTACCAGTCCCTATACTATGGGATTTCATTGAATTTCGTGATAACTTAACAGAAAAGAACCCACGCATAAACACTTACTTACACATCATTCATTGGCACCTTTCCGTCTGTCCATCGATAGTGTTATATTGCGCTATAAGGAAGCATGGGACTCACGGCCCATGGCGATGGCGAGTATGACTAGCAAGACCCGCCCGTGTCAAGAAAAGTCTTCCACAATGATAGCATGGGATTTCATGACCATTGTTAACAATATCTGTGTTGAATCCGTTTTTTTTTTCCAGACGATTAGCTCTCATCCTCTCTGTGATCATTTCTTCCTTCAGTCTCATTGCCCTTTCCACACAACACGGTCTATGGCATTTTGTTCCCATGAGTCAGCCTCAATACCTGTATCATCCATGTCCCGCTTGCACACATCATTATAACGTAGTAGAGGTCGGCCTCGACATCTTCTTCCTGTCTTTAATTTACCATAAAGAATGTCATTGGGAACTCTGCCATCCTCCATTCTCCAGGTGTGACCCAGCTACCTGAGCCTTCGTAGACTGAGCATGGAAAATCTGTTGTAGTACCTGCTCTTTCCAGTACTTCAGTGTTTGTGATTTTGTCCTGCCACTTAATGCCAAGTATTCTTCTTAGGCATCGCATGTGAAAGCTATTGAGCCGTCTCTCCTGGTGCAAATAGGTTGACCAAGTTTCACTGCCATAAAGGATAGTGCTGAGAACTCAAGCATGATAGACAAGGGTTTTTGTTTTAAATGTGAGCTTTCTGTTCTCCCAAACTCTCTTTGTCAGTCTGCTCATTGTTGTTGCTGCCTTACCTATCCTGATGTTGATTTCTTAGTCCAGTGATAGTTTACTATTCACTGTGGAATCCAGATAGGTAAAATGGTCTTCTGTCTCAAGCTCTTCACCCTCAATGTAGACTGTAGGTCTGTCATTGACACCTTGCATCATAACTTTTGTCTTCTTTTTGCTGACTGTTAGTCCAAATTCACAGCACGCATCAGCAAAGGCAGACAGTAAACATTGCAGCTCCTCCTCCAAGTAGGTGGTTATTGCGGCATCATCTGCAAACAGCAACTCTCTGACAAGTAACTTTCTTATCCTGGTTTTGGCCTTCAGCCTGCGAGCATTGTAAAGGCTGCAGTCAGATCGAGAATGAATGAAAATACCACCCTCCTGATCTCGAAAAGCATGTGTTAAAAGAAGTGAAAAGTATATTCCAAAGAGGGTAAGAGCATGTACACACCCCTGCTTCACTCCATTTTTTATTATACACAGCTGTGATATTCCCCTGTAGTTATTGCATCACTCCGATCACCCTTGTTCTTGTACATAGTTATGATGTTTGCATCTTTGAAATCTTGCGGAACCTCTCCCTCTTGCCAGCAGACTGAAATTAGCTGATGGATGTGTGGGGTTAGAATCTCTTTCCCACTACTGATGATTTCAATAGGAATTCCATCTCTGTCTGGGGCTTTCCATGAAGCCAATTCATCAAAAGCATTCGTACAACTGTTGGAACTTACACGCATATACACATATATATACACATACAGACCTAAACAAACACACTCACAAAATTATATATATTTATATAAATACACACGCACACATACACGTACACATACTTTAAGTCACATACACGCAAACATAGATATACATATATGTGTGTGTGTGTGTGTGTGCGTGCGTGTTTAAATATATATATATATATATATATATATATATATATATATATATATATATATATATATATATATTTAAACACGCACGCACAAACACACACACGTACATATATATATTTAAACACGCACGCACACACACACACACACACGTACACACACACACACACATATATATATATATATATATATATATATATACAGTGACACACGCACACGTGAACGCACTCATTATACACACACGTACACAAACATTCACACACCACACACACTCACTCACACACACACACACACACCACACGCACACACACATGCATGCACGCACACACACATGCATGCACGCACACACAGCAGTTCAAGCAAGAAACAAACACAGCCACAGTAGTTTACCTTATTTTTATTCTGCAGTATTAAAACTCAAACCCTCACCCGCCCCCTCCTCCCCACACCCGCCTTTCTCCTACAGCATTTTAAAAACTTTTTTGTTTCTCTCCTGGTGCCCAATTTGTCCAAAAACTACAGCCTTCTTTTCCCTAAGGTAAGCCCTTGTTTTTGCTTGTTGACAGGGCTGCCGACATTTGTTGTGTGAAAAGTTACCAAAACACCCAAAAGAATACAAATGTTTTAATTTGTAATTAAAACCTGTTTAAAAATAATCAAACACACACAAACAAAAACATACACGCGCATATATATATATATATATATATATATATATATATATATATACACACACATACACACAAACATACATACATATATATACATTCATATAAACTGGCTTACTTGGATCAGAATTGAATTTCTTTTCCCTTATAATAATGATATACTAAACTAAAAACCAAGCACCCCACCCCGGCCCTCTCTTTAATTAGATGGCTGGTCTTGCGTTATTAGTTCCCTCGGTGCTTTCTTTCTAGCCGACCATAAATGACGTCACAGGGCAGTCCAATAATTTAGAGGGCGGTGAGAGCGGGTTTTCCGTGTTTTCTGTGCTTTAAGCGGGTTTTCGCGCGTTAACCCAACCCTAACCTTAACCAAACTCTAACCAGAACAAAACTATACGCTTAATCTACCACTCCCTAAAATATTTGACCGTCCCGTGGTCTTTGGATTTTTCCTGTTTGTAATCGGCTAATAAGAAAGTACAGTTCCCTCTATTCTTTATTTATTTGTTCATAATGTTTTTAACAAGGCTGGAAACTTTCATGAAAATGGACTAACAGACCTCGGTCTTCCTTCAGTAACACTTATTGGATCCAGTGCATCATTTAACCGTAGCTTTGCAAAGAATTCACGGGACAGAACGCGCTGAATCATCTCCTGTATAAGACAAATGTAGAACCGGCATATTTTTGCGAAACATTCTTTCAGCTCACTTTGAGAAATCTCCGCAGCAATTCTTTGTGTGTGTGTGTGTGTGTGTGTGTGTGTGTGAGTGTGTGTGTGTGTGTGTGTGTGTGTGAGTGTGTGTGTTTGCGTGCGTGTGTGTGTGTGTGTGTGTATACACATTCTTTGGAAACTGGCACACAGCAAACCCCACTGTTGCTGAGATAGGGGAATGTTACTGATACCAGGAACATTTATAAAATGTCACAAAATACTTCTAAATAAAACGGAATCAGACGAGCTTAAGTATTAGATAAACTAAAATGTTAAACTGCGATAACAGAAATTAAAGAAACACATACGCCAGTTGTCTGAAGGGACGTTCCTTTAATGGCTTTTGAAACTGAAATAAATGAACAAATCACGTCAAATGGTACATTTGCATAAACAGTTATGTCAGGATTTTTTTTTTAGTACACTTCCAATCATTTCTGTTAAGGCTTAATGTATTAATTTTAAATATTGATGCACAATCTCTAAAAAGTATTAAAGCGTGGGTGATACCAAAAGTACAGTTTTGCTCGGCAATTGTCAAATAGTATCAAATTTGCATGAACATACCAACTTCGACAGCCCTGCTAGCGAATGTGAACCGGGTCAACGACAACGGTTCGTGCAGGACTCTTGGCAAGTGGTGTCCCAGATCGACAGCCGACGGTAGAGCGCATCTGACCTGACATACTTCGCCAGGCAAGCCCGCCAACAACCAGCCACCTCTCGAGAACTAGCTAGTTTTAATATTGTCGAGGCTTTAGGTTCGGTTCAGGTGTCGAATTCAGGATATTCCGGCTGTCTACCCAGACAGCAAGGCTTCTCTGGTTGGTGACAGTAATGGTGGATAATTTTTTTTGGGAATTTCCATGTCTGTTCTGAATGTGTAATTAACCCATGAAATGTGTAGAACATTCTAACGTTGCGTAGTCGGGGAATTTCGACGTTGCAAAACGAAGGCTGGAACATACCGGTCGTTTTTACCATAAACTGTGTTGTGTGCCAGTAATGCTGAACAGTCAGAACACAATGCGATAATGTTTTAACATAGAACTAGAACAGATTGTGTAACATATGATTTTTTAAAAATCGACTGTTTACTGACGGGCAATTTAATCAACCTATTTTATTTTAACGAATCGTTACATTTCAGCGTAAAAATCGACAATGGTGAACTGTGGTCTTTGTGCGCAGTTGATCGTGGTTACAGTGTCAACCGTCAATTTCTTGCTTGTTGTGAATGGACAACATGATAAACAGGTGGCCGTCAAATGGGGAGTAGCTGATAGTACGGCCACCGTTGGAAGACTGTTCCGTATGCACATACCTAGTGACGCCTTCAGAGGAAATATATTGTCGCATAAAGTGAGTATCCTTTGTTGTATGACTTATTATTGTATTATTAATTTAACTTAAGCTGTCTTCCACATCACCCAGCGAGTGTCACTTGATTCATAAAAGGTACTTTTCACAAAAGTCACTTCATCTCGTCGGCGCTGAGATTTCGTAGTGGCTCCCATGGGCTATCTGATGTGGTAGGGGTGCTGTGAGATGTTTTTCTTCGACACGTGTACACTGTAGTGCACATACTGTTGTTGTCTTTGGGAATGTTATTACAAGGTGGGGCCCAGTCTCTTCCACCATGTGACTCTCATACCATTGTCCAAAAGACACAAGATTTTTTTCATTTTTTTTTACATTCTACACATTCCCTGTGTGGGTTTCGGAATATGTGGAATAGGACCACAGTCCAGCAGTGTATGAACAACCAGAACTTTCCGCCAGAGTGGACAGCTGGTAAACACGAAGAAGAAGATATTCTTTGTGATTTCTTGAGACCTGTGAGAAGTATTTTGCAGAAGAATCCTTATAATTCCCTGGACAACCAAAAAGAGCAAACCATATGTTTTTAAAGAGGGAAAAGGGGGGGGGGGGAACTCGAAGACACCATATCAGAAACATCCGAAAGAGACAGTCATGTTTTGAGAAGGGGGAATAGTGATCACCGGAAACAGAGACAGAAGAAGACAATGCTAGATGATCCTTGACAGCCTTATGTCATGGCTTGGAGGGGTGTCACAACACACGGAACTGATACACGCAGTTGCAGATGGCAGATTGTGGAGAGGTATGATCGCCTGCGCCAGTCGGCAAGGTACTTGATAATGATAATGTTGATTCTACATTAAATTATTGGATAGCCCCCCTGGTGAAAAGCTTGTTGAAATATCTGGTGAAAGTGTTTTGCTAAAGTTGATGGTAAGCAGGTTGATTTTGATTATTTAATTGTGGCCTTAGAAGTTACAGGCATTCAGCACAAACACAAAGGTGTGCATAATTTTGTCAACAAGTTTATACACATTTCTTAAGACACAGGCACACACATATACAAACACTGTTTGTAAATGTGTGTATACATCATGTATGGGCTTTTCACATTGTCAAGAACAGGGCTAATTCCACTAAGTTTATTCAGTGGTTACAATGTCGAAAAAAGGAATCGTCAGGGGTCATAGGTCCAAGCCCAAATATATCTATATATAAACCCAAGAATATCTGGCAATGATCCGCGGGCCGCTTGCTAGGTCTCAGCGTGCCAGATTGAGGCTTTGGCCCGTTAGTGAACAGTACTGGTCTAGAAAGTTTGTTGGCCAATTGGCTTAGAGTTTGTGGCCTCATAAGTTGTTCCGCATGAGTTTGTTTTTTTAAATTCTGACCACAGGCACTCCTACGTATGTTTTTGCACGTTAACATGTAGATATATCTGTGAACAAACGCATGAGTATGCCCTGCCCATAAGCGTAGGGGTCACCGTGCTAATCTCTCCATAGACCAGAATTTAACTTATTCTTGTGTGTGGTTGTGTTGGTTGAGCAGGGGGTTGTGTGGAGCAGTGGTCGGTTCTTGTATTTTTGTGAGACTCCGAGATTTTGCAAGGAGTTCCCGGGAAAGTCCACTAGTATAGGGGTATTAAGGTGAGAAATAAACACCGACTAACACTTACCCTAACACCCCCCCCCCCCCTTTCCCCCTTTTTCACCACGTAACAAAAAAAGTACACTAGGGTTTGCTACACTGCCTTGCATGGGGGCCCCTAATACTGTTAAGACTGTGCTGTTGCGTGTGTGTTTTGTCTTCTTAGCAAGCTTCGTGACCGAGTGGCTTAAAAGCAGTGTTCTTCAACCGGTGCCCGCAGAAATGTCCTTGTGGTGTGACAAAATGTGTCTGCTTAATCACGTAGCGGCTACATGATGCCGGCACGACATTGTTACATTGACCATCATCACACGTCGTATGAGCTGAAAAGTTTAAGTTTATGATATAATATTTAACAACTATGTAAATTTTTAACTGTCCAATGCTCCGTGTAAAACATCCCCGTTTTGCCTCAAGTATGAAACTATTTAAGAACACTGGTTAGAGGGTTTGTCTGCGTCTGGCTTATGCATACCTGATTGGTCTTACGGTCTGTGCTTAGATTAACGTACAGGTTTGGTGTACTTTCATTGTTGTACCTATTAGTTGTGTACCTTAGTGGCTAGTCGCTCGCCTGTCGGCACGAAGGTCTTTGGTTCAAATCCGCTGAGCAGCTGGTTTGTTTCTTGAGCTTCCAGGTCGACCAATTAACAGCCTTAAAAAAACATTGATACCAGCTACTGTCCTTAGAAGCAAAGTATTACCACATCACAGCCCAAATAGTCCAGAACGCGCTTCGTACTTCCAATATACCCGCTTCGTACTTCAAATATACCCCCTTCAATTTCAGCTGCTGGCGATTTGGAAGCAGTGGCAATGCCAAACTATTCAAATTAAAATTGTCTAACGGTTAGTTGCGTATCCTTTACAGGACTTTGCAGAACCTACCCCAGCATTTTTTGGCTGTTGTGGTTTTTTAGGCAAGTTTGGGTCTAGTAGTTTGCCATTGCTTTCTGCACGGTCGGCTTCTCGATACCACTGTCGTAACCAACGTAAGGCCAGCAGCTGGGATCGTGCCCGGCAGCCCGGCATTATGAAGCGCGTTCGAAACGCCTAAGTCACAGACGCCGACAGCCTGCTGCCAAAGACCCCCCCCCCCCCCCCCCCCCGCCCCCCCCCCCCCACACAAAAAAATCGCGAGCTTATTTACGAGCACATAAAAATCCATTAGCAGTTGGGCAGTTTGAAAGTGTAGAGTTCTGGATTGGTCAAATCCCCCCCCCCCCCCCCCCCCCCCCCCCCCCCCAGTGACTGGAATAAACACCCATGGATCCTTACAGGTGCTACGGGTTTTGTAGGTTTTGATGGGAATCTGTTTTGCATAATTAAACAAGGTGACTGTATTACTTACTTAGTTGATTTCTACTTGTAATAAAAGTGTCTACTGTGACGATTTATAGGAAGAATAGAGAAAGACACAGATATGAAATTCATTGACTACTGCGACGATTTATAGTAAGAAATAGAGAAAGACATTCTTGACATTCTTAACAAATTTCCATCGCGGCATAAACAGGCGCTTCCACATGCATTTTCTACACATTGTTGGAGATCGCAAGAAGTGGAATACATTCTCCCCTCCTCCCCCCCCCCCCCCCCCCACTCCACTCTAGTCGTCATACAGCTTGAGGGTCATATTGATGGTATAACTTGACTTTAAAATAAGCAGGCACAAAGAAGGATCTATTCACCGCCAACATTTTCTTTAACTGTTTAGTCTTGATTCTGTTTAGTCTTGATTCTGTTCCAGTTAAGTTTTCCTTCTTCTCCTGCTGCATCAGCTCACGTCATGTCAACATGTCCTTTATTATCACATGTAGCTTGCACAATGTCCTTCCCATCTTTTTTAACGTCACTTTCTATAGTTCGTTCAACATTTCACGAACACACTTACAGGTTATTTTCTCGAAAACTGCCTGTTAGGTCGCAACGATTTTTGCATGCAGACTTTGAATATTCATGACGCAAAAATAGGGATATTCTGAGGTCCATAGATGCCCAGGATGCTGTATACCAGCCAGTTCCTTTGATCTTTTCGAATGCCACTATTTTTGCATCATGGAGAATATAGCTTGCAAGTGTGGTCATCTTCTTTTTCTTCTTTCGTTCGCCTGAAATAGTTGTCTATATCAGCAGTTTTGTCTCTTGTATAAATTTCACTGTCGTTGTTAGTTCATTCAGTGGTCCATAGAGTTTACGTTTCACTGTTGTTCTTTCTGGCCAAAAGGTTTGCCTTAATGTGTCAAATTCGGTGCAGTCCTGAAGTACATGCTCTGCTGTCTGGGGCACATTTCCACAGGTGCACATGCCTGATACACCTATTTTGAATTTTGTGTACATGTGGTTACGTAATCGGTTTTGCCCTGTTCTGAGGCAGAGGATAATGACTTGTTCTGGTCTGTCCATAATAAAATAGTCGTCTTGTGCTGGGGCTGGTGGTTTCCTGATCGATTTAATGATTCTTTTATTTTGGTGGTATGTGACTGGTACATCCGGCTGCTCTTTTGTCGCATCTTCCCCTGCCAGTTGATCAGCTTTCTCATTTCCAGGCACTCCACGATGAGACGGTATCCACTGCATTACGACTCTTCGCTGAAGGCTGAGTTGTGCAATTCTGGTAGTTTCCTAGACTGGAGTGCTTCAAGTACTGATTTAGCATCTGTCAGCGTTACCACATACTGTGAGCCAAGATTGGTATTTAGCAGTTTCTCTGTTGCTATCTTGATAGCTTGAGTTTCTACTTCATAGTTATGGCAGTACTTCCCGGTTGGTACACTGGACTTATCCCTAGTACCATCTGGGAATTTGATGTACACTCCAGCACCACTATTTCTAACTGCACTTTCTGCGGACCCATCTGTATAGACTCTGACCCATTGTTCTTGTGGGTATTCTTCATCAATATAACTGAGGGTGGCCATTCTGCGTTGTACACTATCTTGCTCTTTCTTGTCAAATATCCCTTTCACATTTGTCTGGATTTGTACTGTTAGTTAGCATTTTTCTCTATATGGGGTTTGTTCCTGAATACTTTTAAGTGGGCTACCAATTTCTGGAAGGTCAGCAGTTTGTCTACATATTCTTTTTGCTTGGTGTATAAAGCTGCTTCTTTTTTAACCGTCCCAAGGCTAAGTTCTTAAATCTATTTTCCATCGGGTGATCTGGCATACTGAGGAACTTTTCAGCTTGTATTTGCAACTTTGTATCTCTGCGTTCTCTTAGTGCCTGTGTTTTCCCAGCTTTCTCCATTTCTAATATGGAGGTTGATTTCATCCCTCCTGTGATGACTCTGAGCGCTTGATTTTGCACTTTTTCCAACTCCTTTAATGTGGAACTAGATGCTGAACAACATGCAGTTGACGCATATTCCAAGTGTGAAAGTATGCTCT